AATATATCTTCTATATAAAAATTATAAACTGCCATTTATCTCTTTGCTTACATTTTCCTAAATTCTTATAGTGTGAATCTTTCTTATCTCGAATTAAACCATTCAAATGACTTGTGTTGGAAGTTTTTGACTACTTCTCGTCGTATTTTCTAATCCTGTAACAATATTTCCATTCAAATATTAGATGGTATCGAAATGTGTTTATAATATTTTCACTTCAAGAAACTGAACTTCCACTAATTATAACGGATATTAATTATTGTTGTATCTAATATTATCAATAAAAAAATGTACATACATATATGAGTAAACTGGACCGGAATAGCAGCCCTATACAAGCATTAGTTACATGCATAATTAATAACGACGAGGCTATTTCGACAAACTTTCACTTACTTCAATAATAAGGAAGATATGGGCCTACAAACAATGCGCACGTCTAACATCTCTAGTAATGCCAGTAGTTTGTCAGTAGTTTTTACTCTCCCTTATATTTCACCAGCCAATTTCTTACTTCATCGACGCTGTATTTAATTGGACCCCATTTCCCCTGATAGAGAATAACACCGTCTAAAATAATATAGAGCCTCTCCGGGAAACCACCGTAAGCTATATTAGCCTCGTTTTCCATGTTATCGAGGACAACCGGGGATTCGATCCCAGCATCCAAAAGAAGACCTGCAGCTTTTACTCGATCTTTCAAAGTCACGTGTTGCTTGTATTCAAGTTTTGGGTCTGTAGAAGCTCGCCAACCATCAATAGGATGAGCTTCTTCAATGTAAATTGTTAAAAAGTCAACATACTTGGTAAAGTCTCGTACTAATTCATTGAATTTCCGTAACTCTACCATAAACGGGGGTCAGGTGCAACTACCAAAGTTCAACACCAGTGGTCGCCCTTTTTTCATGTAATCCAACAGAAAGTGCTTCTTCAAACCGTCTGATGAAACGATGACAGTGTTGGGGGCCATTTTGTTTACTTCGGCTGTTTTAAAAGCATCTAAAATATAGGCTCGATATCGAGTTTTAAACTGCGACAAAGATATAGCAGCGTCGGTAATGAGGTATTTTGAAACTTCGGGCTCTTTTTCTGTCATTGTTTTGAATCTCTGCTCAACGTATCGCCTAACTGGTGGGAAAAGCCACAAAACAGCCACGAGGATCGCTTGACCGAACAAAGAAAGTGTAGCTATCATCACTCGCCAGCATATCGTCAACTTCCGGTAAAAAATCGCCATTTAAAAGTTTAAATTTGGTCTTCAGTCTTCTGAAATAACAAATTAAAGGAGAAATGTCAGATATCTTTTGGCAAATAAAAATGATTCATACTATACCGAAGACTCCGAAAACCCTTTATTCTAGACCCACGCAATCATCTGACATGTTTCAAATGTTTAACTCGTGTACCTACACATTGGCGTGCACGTAAAAGATCCCTTGACCGCTGGAATTCGATATAAAGGCAGGCCGTATCGCAGCTTTCGGGCCTAATTTCCATCATAGTACACTGTATAGCGGATGCCCGTCTTCATTGGCCCAATCAGAGCAGAACAGTAGGGCGTTAAACCTCATTTCATTTGATATCATTTCATTTCATTTCAAATGTTTAAAGCTACATTAGTACAGAGCTAAATATACCTATTGCAAGTCTTTCTATAGGCTTCAAATATTATAGAATTGAATTTATTAATTAGATCTTTATTGACATAACAAGCCCAAAATCAACTCTGTAGACCCTCGGATGGCTTGGGTACAGCTTGGATTTAAACAGTTGTCCATTTAATAGTTAAATCATTAAATGGCAGGCTAAGCTAGCATATACCGTTTAATCACCGATGTTACTCCCGGAGACGAAAGGACTGACAACCGAGAATATCTTAACTAATGTATCTTTAATATGTATACAGACAACGGGTTTATATGAAATAGCAGATTATAACTTATAAACTGAAATATCTAGCTAAACCTATGTAAAAAGCACAATCCCCACGTAAAATCGATCAGCTGGATAATTTAACAGTTGTAACACTATCTTACAGATAACAGAAGATCATAATGTATATAAGACCTTTATTCAGAACATGAAATAGACATAAATCGGGGGAAGCTCTATTCCAAGTCTGACTTGCTGTAAGTAAACGTCTGCTTATAAAGCCTCTAACAATTAGCTGATCTTACAGATAACAGAAGATCATAATGGATATAAGACCTTTATTGAGAACATGAAATAGACATAAATCGGGGGAAGCTCTATTCCAAATCTGACTTGCTGTCAGTAAACGTCTGCTTATAAAGCCTCTAACAATTAGCTGAGGTGGACAAGAGTGATAATCATAATGGTATTGTTTATCATTAATTATGGTGTTTGTAATTAAACTGCATATTTCTTTGAAAGTCATTGTCAGGTCAAGGTATAATGAACTGACCACTAATACATTCTCTTTGAAGTTCAGTCTGGTGTTACATGCGGATCATGTGTAGCTTGTTAAAGAACATCTTGAATAAACTAGATGTTTATTAAGAACGTGTCTTCACAGAAGTTGTTGAGAGTTTAAACGTCAACTTCAGTTATAGATCAGTTTTGTCACACAAGGTTACTTATTAAAAATAAATAACGAACATAATATAAACGTCAACTTCAGGTATAAATCACTCTGTTACACAGTCACTATTTTCCAAACTAGACTCAGATCGTAAAAGCACAGATCGTTAGGTTGGTCTACTTACAGTACCCAATGTTAGGGGGAGTGAGTCTGAAATTTCTTTCGAAATTTGACGCATAGAAAACGCTATTTTTGAGCTATAGCATAACTAAACACGTAAATAAAAGGTCCAACGTAACACAGGTTTGACGAAGTCACGTTACTTGGAGTCCTCATAATACCAGGCTGGCCAACATTTGACGGCCTGAAGCTATTTTTGAGCTACACGTATGATAATGTTCGTGTTATCATTTACGGTCCAGTATATCGTTACGTAAATGATAAAACGGGCGCTATTATACTCGTTCTTGTTCCACTTTTCACCACCTGAGGCTTAATGAAGCAAAGCGAGAAAAATGACCATGATCGGATTTTGTGACCTCCGGTATAATCCGCCTATGTTCAGTAGTGGATCTAAATGCTGTGAATAGGGGTGTCCACATCTAGGGCACCATCCACAACCCCACCCCACAAAATACGCAACAAAATGCGTAAGCTGGTTCAAAAACATTTCCTATATACAGTTGTTCGCCGATCGTTATCTCGCCATTAAACAGTTTTGTTCATTATTCAAGTGGACATAAAGTTCATGATTATTATTGATTTTGTTATTATTTGTTTGTGCCCCCACTCCCAAATACATGCCCGCCTATATTGCAAACCCATTTTGTACTTGCCCTTATATGATTCATGTTAGTCTGCAAAATAAAATTAAACTTACGGTAGCTGAATAGCTTAGTTGTCTTGATCTCGGGTGCAAAAACACACATGAATTGATATTAGTTTGATAACATTGAGAGAATACTCTTCTAAACGTCGCCCAGATAAACACGTAGCTGTTTTTCTATAAGTATGTGTTATAGTTTACTGCTCTATCCAGTTACTAAATGTCTCTCAAAGATTATTAACTGATATGTATTATGACGAACACGTGCAGCATCACGTGATCTGCTTTCTCATTTTTAATCCATTATTATTTGGAACAACATAATATGCTATTTTTAATAAAACTTCGTAATTGTTTTCTGATTATTGTCAAGTGCTGAAGGACCATAACATCAAAAGCTGTAACCCATATCAACAAGTCGATGTTTTGACCTTGGGCCGTTTTAGAACAAGTATGGAAGCACAGGGGAGTCAGAAATTTGAACAGTGGGGTTGAATTAAGTGGAACGTCTCGTAAATACAATTGTACGATCATTTTCAGAGTACATGGTCACATTTGCAATGTTAGGGCCTGAAGGAGGGGGGGGGGTATTCAACTCAATTAAGGGGGTTAACTAACTAATAGTATCCATGATATTGAGAGAGAGAGAAAGAGAGAGGGAGAGGAGGGAGAAATGGGGTTTAACGTCCACTAGACACAAACTAGGCCATTTCGGGACTAACATATGGCTCAATTTTATTTCAATAATTCGCTTGCGCGTTAAAGGACGCGGAGAAAACCTATGAGGTTGGACAGGCGACCCTACTCTTTGTCACATACAACCGGGGAATCGAAACCACGCCAGTTGAATCAATAACAGACCTTATTATGCAGCGCGCACGTGCTAACCATTCGGCCATCCAACCCCCCGGTAGAAAATAAGTTATTTTCATAAATATAACCCGACGGAACATACCAAATATGTCAAGAACTTCCGGTGAAGAGGCTCCATTTGCTGATTTAGTTTGGCTGCTGTATATAGCCGAATCAGGGAATAGGTATATATAAGTATTTATTATGCCCGCAACAAATGTCTCGAGCGTTCCATTTATTAACCCCTCCAATGACATATAGTGAGTATGTCAATTACAACTGGCTGCATAACGAAACTATGGTGATCTGTTTCTGCCACTCCGTGCTTCGCCTCTCACAATGTTATGCTATGGGGAAGAACGTCGACGTCGCCTTTATTTTAAAACACGGCATCGGCCATCGAAAAGTTTCCTTTAATACGCCCACATGTAGTTTGGGTGTATATTGTCGTAACCCTGTCCGTCGGGCCTGTTGACGCGATAGATGCTACAGTTTTTTTTTTTGCTGACCTTTTTCAAATTTAAAACATTGTGGTCATGAAAAGAAGAAGCCAATCGATATTCAGCGTTCCGCGACTTTCCGTTCTAGAGTTATCTCCCCTTTGCTGAAAACCTTGTGAACGCGATAGAGGCTACAGTTTTAAACAGACTCTTTTGAAATTTGGTGTGAAGCATTGCTGCGGACATGAGAGGACGACCTCTGTTGATATTCAGTGCTCCACCACCTGCTTTACCCTTTTTCTTTTGTACGATTCCGAAAACAAAAAGAAGTATAATAATATTACAAGGTTAAAAATTCTTTTATTTCGTGTTTTGTTTACTTAGTCTTGACCTACCTTATTTTACTTGAAGATTGAACATGTGAGTTATTCTATAACTTTTATATATAGCTATGACGTCATCAAATAAATTAGTTTCGTATTTTTACTAAAATATCTTCATAAATATATCTACTATATAAAAGTTATACAATTCGCATTTATCAATTTACACATTATAAGGTGTTAGAAAAAGCACTACTTAAATTTAACTTGGACACTGAACAAGTGAGTTATTCTATAACACTTATATATATATATAGATATTATGACGTCATCAGATAAATTAGTTTCGTGTTTTTACTAAAATACCTTCATTAATATATCTACTATATAACTTTTATACAATTTCCACATTGTAATGTCTCCGCCACGAAAAAAATTGTAAATATTCGGCTACGAAGATTATAATACATACAAAACAATATAATGCATACAAAATATCCGTTTTGCTAAAATGTCTAAATATACAGTATCTTGTACACAACAAACCTACTTCGGAATGACGTCAAAGTGGGGTAAAGTATCGAAGCCTATAACTACCATTCATAATTTCTACTTTACGTCTCTTCAAAACACGAAAGTCGAAAAGTAGAAGTTACGACAAAATGTGAGGCGACAACACGCTATACAAGCCAAAATCAACTCGAAAATAGGAAATTAAGAAATAACACACAGCGATAATAGTGCCCCTCGTTTTTTTCCTAATTTCTTATTTTCGACTTGCATTTTGGCTTGTATAATAGCGCCCCTCGTTTTCTCCTAATTTCTATTATCGCTGTGTGTTATTTCTTAATTTTCTATTTTCGAGTTGATTTTGGCTTGTATAGCGTGTTGTCGCCTCACATTTTGTCGTAGAGAGAGAGAGAGAGATGGGGTTTAACGTCCATTCGACACAAACTAGGTCATTTCGGGACTAACATATGGTTTTTAATTTTATTTCAATAATTCGCTTGCGTGTAGGGGTCTTTAGCAGTGGGAGGAAACCGGAGAACCCGGAGAAAACCCACGAGGTTGGACAGGCGACCCTACTCCTTGTCACGTACAACCGGGGCATTTTGTCGTAACTTCGACTTTTCGACTTTCGTGTTTTGAAGAGGCGAAAAGTAGAAATTATGAATGGTAGTTATAGGCTTCCATAGTAAAGGGAACAAACACCACCGTTCGCTTTTGATTGTAGGCTATTACGGTCAGTTTCAAGTATACTAAGACTAATGAAAAACGTAAGTTGGTAACTACGCCGACTAAACGATATTCGTGGGGGAACTTGAAACAGTGCCCCCCTCAAACATCATTTAGTAGGCATAATTACTAATTTTCGTTATTCGTTAGTCTCAGTGGAGGCGCCAGGGGGGGGGGGGGCAAGGGGGTGCATTTGCCCCCCCATTAATCTGGTCTGCCCTCTGTTTGCCCCCCCCCCCCAATAATTTTAGAAAATAAAAAAAAAGTATTCGTGATACGTTTCGGTAATCAATACCTTCTACGGTGAATAAATCCCACATCCCCACTCAGTCATAAACTTGCATGTTGTAGAGCATTTCCGACAGTCTATTTTTCAAAATTTTCTTGGCGAGGTCCCCAATGGACTCGCTACTTTGGCGCTCACAAGGGGAATTCGTTGAGGTTCGCAAGTCCGTTCGTTTGACATTTTGTTCTCTAGTCGGATAAACTATATAGTGATCAGGCGACGAACGGTATCTGGTCAGATCTATTTATCTCGACGATCGGTCCCTGGGAATGCTGTAAGACAGCATTTCCGGCAGTCTATTTTTCAAAATTTTCTGGGGGGGGGGGACTCCCTACTTTGACGCTCGTGAGTGGGCTTCGTCGTGATTCGCAAGTCCGTTCGTTTGACACTTTCCCTCATCGATCAGTGTCTGAAATACTGCCAGGCTGCATTTCCGGCAACCTGTTTTTCAAAACTTTCTGGGGGAGGCCCCCTACCCCTAGTTGAAGCTCGTGCCTTTGCCCCCGTAACCTTGGACTTTGCCCCAGCTTTGCCCCTCCAATCACTGACGGCTGGCGCCGCCACTTGTTAGTCTAAACTTGAAAGAAAGGGGCCGCGCGTAGTGCAATAGCAATAACGAGATTCGGTGTTTGTACCACGTCACGTGACTTTCAATTTGGAAAAAAACCCAGTTGACGTCATTCGGGAGTACGTCTATTAATAAACATCAGTAACCCCTAGTAACAATAACTATGCACGGACATTACTTTCTTCTCCCTTGTATTTCGTCAACCAGTCTTCCACCTCATTAATATGGTACCCAAAAGGACCCGGACCTCCTTCATATACAATAACACTGTCCAAAATAATATACAATCGCTCTGGTAAGCCACCATATACTACACTTGACTCGTTTTTAACGTTGTCCAAAACGACGGGGGATTCCACACCAGCTTCCAGTAAATTCCTTGCAGCCTTGACTCGGTCTTCTAATGTCACGTGCTGGTAAATGTCATAGTTGTTATCAAATCGCCATTCATCATTTGGGTGGGCTTCTTCGATATAAATCGTCAAAAAATCTGCTTCCTTGGAAAAGTTACGTACTAATTCGTTGAAATTCCGTAACTCTACCATAAACGGGGGTCAGGTACAACTACCAAAGTTCAACACCAGAGGTCGACCCTTTTTCATGTAATCAAACAGGAAGTGTTTCTTCAGTCCATCTGATGAATATACTGTCGTATTTGTCGCCTTTCCATGAAGTTCAGTCGTTTTGAAGGCGTCTAGATAACTGGCACGGAAAATATGCGTAAGCATTCCCCAAGAAAACATTGAACTTTCAAAATCTCCTCTTTTCACTCGACTGCCTTCCACATTGTGGCTCATTTTACGATTTATCATTCTCCCCAATGGAGGAATTAACCATACCAGTGCCGTAACGATAACAAGGAAGACCATACGAAAAATGAAAGCTGCAATCTTCCAACAGCGTTTCGCAATTCTGATAATGGACTCCATGTTTATTCAGAGTTATCTCATCTGAAATGTACAAAACGGTAAGAGTTTTTAAACTGCCACAGATACCATTATTTGCCTGTCATTTATATTACTTGTACCGCATACCACTGTTAAAATAAATGGTGATAACCTTAGTCTACGAGGGGTGCTTTAAGGTCCTGTTCGATAAAAGTTTGAAAAAGTACCCCAAATTGTTATCAATGTAGTAAGTGCAGGCATGGCCTCACCATATTAAAACCCATACCCACTAGAAGATTGTTTTCCAGATAATAAAACATACCCCACCAGGACTCATTATTTGAATGCTCTGTTTGCTTTTAAGTTTTGTTACATACGCACACCAGGAGTACAGGCGTCCGCAGTATGTATGGTTTTAAATTCAGTTACATGCGTTCATCAAGAGCACAGACTTCCGCAGTATGTATGCTTTTAAGTTCTGTAAATGGTCTTGAGAAATAACAACTTAGACTATATTATAGTGTTTTCAAGGCCCTGGATCACAAACGCAATCATTCGAGTGAAAACATCGTCTGTTACGTATCTATTTGGAACCCGTTTTCAGATGAAATCTATTTAAAACAGAAAATACGATAACGTGAAAGAGTACAGTTGTCGGTCAGATAAAAAAAAAACAGGATGCAATTAGTCCATTTCGATATCCCTCAACCGAAATACTATCGATGCAGGATAATAAAACAGGCCCCTTAGAAAAATATCGACCAAATATAGAGATACTGATCACAACTTGTCAGTGTTTATGGATATTGATTTTACATTTATAAAATAATTTTTGATCAGTAAAGATGATGGAGAAAAATTGTTGTTACCCTGTTGTATTTCAGCCACTTCGCGCGTGCAGCTCCTTTGTAAAGATCGACGCAGGACGTAAAGAGTGACGTCGTTTTTTTCAGTGTTAAACTACAGAGGAAAAAGTTGACCTTTTAAACAAAATAAACGCCTCCCTGTTCGCTGCGCCTTTAATGGTGTACGCGTGTCAAAGGAAATCGAAGAGAATAAAGTTATTAGGTTACATACACAACTAACCATGTACTTTTAACCAATGTTTATTTGATTAGTGTATGTAGGTTACAATGGCTAATATATATATTATGTATATGGTAGAGATAAAGCTCGGGTATATGGTTGTTTTCAGATGTAACTGACATACTTTATATAGAATTGGATAAAGTAGTATAGACACCATGCACCAGAGCCTTACTTGGTGTTCTAGAAAGTGAATTATAATTCGAACAATTTCATGGCAGAATAAATATTTCAGGGGCGTAGGAGCGATATTCATCGGTGTTTTGGTTTTGTTGTTGTTGTATTTGTTTATTTCGTGGAGCCGCGGTAGCTCATTGTGTAAGACGTTGACTCGCTAACCTGTATGGTGTAATAATGTTGATAATTCATTATATTTTTCTGGACATTTTCATTTCAAGACTTTAACTTCAAGACTTTTTGAAACGTAGAAAATATTTTCATAAGAGTTCAAATTCCAGATTTTTTTTAGAAACTTTCAGAAACCAATGAATTGATTTCTTTGTCGTGTAAAATTAAGAAATTATTTTTTTAATTTTAATATTTAATGATTAAAATAAAAGTTACAGATAAAACGCCGAAAATGAAACATAAAGTCAATTTTTTGTTTAAAATGTTGATTTTGTGCATAAAATATTGACATAAGAATATAGAAACAAGAATCATTAGTTTAGAATGTTGCGTTCGTGTCTAAAATGTTCAAACTGGAATGTAGAAACAAGAATCATGAATACTGTCCCATTTGGTCTTCCATAAACCTGGATGTCCCGTGTTCGACCCCGGTGTTGACCTATAAACCTCATCTCGATTTTTCGGCGTGGTTCCCCCTTGTCACAGGTGCAGGACAGAGGGCCTGGCAAGGTAGAACGTATACTCGTTCGGATGGGACAAAAACCCGAGGTCCCGTGTACACATTGGCGTGCCAGTAAAAAAACCTTTGACGGTTGAAATTCGGTATAAAAGTAGGTCGTAGTGCCGCTGTTCGGGCAAAATCTTCCTCACTGCATACTCTATACCTGTCTACGTTAGCCCAGTCGATGCAAAACAGTAGGACGTTAAACCTTAATTAATTTCATTTTTGTTTGATTCGTGTTAAAACCTTGACATCGCATTTTTTGTGGACAGGTTAACATTGAAAAAAAGCTACCCTGAATTAGTGGCTGAAATAGAACACGATATATTGTTGTTATGGAGGAGAAAGCAGGTGGCCAATCGACTTGAAGTTAAAGAGGTCTTCTACTGACAGTACCGAGGAGACATTAACAGGCATTAATAAAAGAATTACACTCACCTTGTTTCTAAGTACAACACAACCAGGACGAATTATCTTCGACTATGCTTGTTAGGCTCTGTTTACCATAGACCCACTGACGAGTACAAACAGGTCACGAATGTAAAAACTGTAACTATTTTGATTGTTAAAGATATCTACGGAAGCACAATACTGACATGGTATTTTATTGAAAATAAAATGCGCCCCCACCCCCTTCCTCGAAAGAAAATTGCGAATATAGTATGCCAATACGAATTATCTCTGATTGTGGATGTTTGGTCCTGTTTTTGATATATATATATACCCACAGACCTGCTTATCACAATACAACTGGGCACTGAAAGATACATTATATGGGAGATTTTTATAGAGAGCTGGCCATTCTTGCTATAACAGTTCAAAAGTAGATGATGAAAGAAGAATATATTGAAAAATTCAGTCAAATTACTTTATTCTGAACATAGTTATCATCGTTGTAATATTTGCCTAGAAATGGTAGCGAAATGTGTCTTCACCTTCGCCGATCGTTTGATTGACAGGCGTTAACTTCACCTACATATCTCGATTATCAAGTAAAGTTTTCAATGGCATACGGAAACGCTTTACAGCGGCCTCGCTAAGTACACTCTATCATTTAGCCTCGATCTAACTGACGTATTTTCATCAGGTTACCCCTTATTTGATTTAATCAATTAGTGAAATCCTATTTAAATCCGAGCTGTAGCCGAGCCATCGGTGGGTCTACAGAGTTGATTTTGGTCTTGTTGTTTAAATAAAGATCTAATTTATAATTTCTATAACATCTGAAGCCTAAATTAAGACTTGCAATAATCAGATTTAGCTCTTGCATAATGCATGTTGAATAATGCATGGAGTGGATAGCATTTACTGAATGAAATGGCAAGCCTTCTTAGACCCCGCTGACAGTAGTGAAATCAGCTTCTGGGGCCGTTGGTACTGTTGCAATAGGCTATTAATGCTGATACTTTCCTTGACTAAAACAGATTCTGTAAAAATATCTTTATTGAAAAACAAAAAAGAAACCAAATGCAAGTTTGAGACAATCTGTACAATAGTTATATCAAGGAACTGTTATTGGATAACGCTGTCCATCTCGATGACAAACGTAAATAAATTTATTTATAAATGATATTTCGTCATCAGATAAATTAGTTTCGTGTTTTTTACTAAAATATCGTCATAAATATATCTTCTATATAACAAATTTAAACTGCCATCCATCTCTCTGCTTTAGTCCCGAAATGACCTAGTTTGTGTGGAATAGACGCTAAAGCTCTCCCTCTCTCTATATAGAAATGCTATCGCAATATTTTCATTCAAATATAGTAATTATTAGATGGTACAGATATTTCAATACCAGAAACAGAACTCCAACTAATTGTAATACTATTTGCACGAAATTATGGAAAACAGCTACTAGTATATGTAATACTAGCAAGATACGTGGCTTCGCCCATACTCCCCGCAGTGTTTCGTTTGATTTCTGTTCCAAATTATGACTGGTCAATAGTCAGATTAACAACCAATCGCTAACTGCGTAACAATATAATTACGCATTAAACAAAGCCCCAAATTGGACCAAATATGTTTACATAACGTCATGGCTCACGAATATGCATAGCAGAATATTGCAGAAAAAACTAATTGTGTGACAAACGAGGCTATCGAAACAGATACAATGTAAAAAGTATTGTATGTAGACGAACAAGACCTTCTCCGCTTTTAATAGCTTAAATCACTGTCCAAAGTTTTAGGGAAGACCCCAGATTAAACGAAGCGCTGTCGTGTTGCTGTACTTGGGATAAATTTGATTGAACGGGAAGAATAGACACACTCCCTTAAAAGCTCAAGTATCAAAAGCCAATCCAGCAATGGACAGAGAGGGATTTCTCGGGCCATTGCTTCAGGAATATGAGCTTCGCCCGGGATCTGAATTCGCCAGGGGTTTTTATATTTTTTGTATTTTTATTTTTGTTGCATTTTTGTATTATCTGTAAATATGTAAATAAATTGAGGTCGGAATAGCAGCCAAATATAAGCATTAGTTACATACATAATTAATAAAAAGCGTCTCAGAATTTCAACAAACTTCTATCTAAAAAAAAACGCGCATGTTAAAAATCTCAAGTAATGTCAGTATTTTTTTCTATTTTTATTATCCCTTATATTTCGTCAGCCAGGTTCGTACTTCATCGACGCTGTATTTAACTGGTCCCCATTTCCCCTGATAGAGAATAACACCGTCTAAAATAATATAGAGCCTCTCCGGGAAACCGCCGTAAGCTATATTAGCCTCGTTTTCCATGTTATCTAGGACAACCGGGGATTCGATCCCAGCATCCAAAAGAAGACCTGCAGCTGTTACCCGATCTTTCAAAGTCACGTGTTGCTTGTATTCAAGTTTTGGATCTGTAGAAAGTCGCCAGCCATCAATAGGATGAGCTTCTTCAATGTAAATTGTTAAAAAGTCAACATACTTGGTAAAGTCTCGTACTAATTCATTGAATTTCCGTAACTCTACCATAAACGGGGGTCAGGTGCAACTACCAAAGTTCAACACCAGTGGTCGCCCTTTTCTCATGTAATCCAACAGAAAGTGCTTCTTCAAACCGTCTGATGACACGATGACAGTGTTGGGGCACATTTTGTTTTTTTCGGCTGTCTTAAAAGCATCTAAAATATAGCCTCGGTATTGAGTTTTAAGCTGAGACAAAGACCTAAAGCCGTCATAATAAATGTATTTTGAAACATCGGGATCTCTGCCCAGGAATTTTGATATACGTTTTTCGGCGGATCGTCTAATCGGTGGAAAAAGCCACGAAACAGCCAAGAATATCACTTGACCGAACAAAAAAATCACAGCCACTGTCACTCGCCAACATATCGCCAACTTCCGGTAAATACTCTCCATTTAAAGTTTTAGATTTGATTTAACTCATCACCTGAAAAAATAAATTGAAAGAGAAATGCCAGATATATTTAAGTGAAACAAAATGGTTAATTGTATGTCGAAGACTCTGAGAACCCAAATAATTATCCGACGCCCTATTACACGTTTTAAAATAAATACTTCGGTGGAGCTGAAGATTTCATTATGAGAAGTAACATAGTGCGCACAGGCGCTTCAGGCGCTTGTAAACTTTAAAATTTTCTTAATGAAACAAAATAAACATTATGCCTCTATTATGTTCATATTGAATTCGTATAAGGGAGATAATCAAATTCAGGAGTAAATATAACGTTACTGTTCGCTCCATTATATAAGATCATGTATATGACGGGTGTCCCACACTACCAGAAATGGGCTCTGAAAAAATATGAATTAAAAATATACTTCTGTGAATGTTCAACCAAAATTAGGGGGGTTGGATGGCTGAATGGTTAGCGCGTGCGCGTTGTATCATAAAGTCTGTCATTGAGTCAACTGGCGTGGTTTCGATTCCCCGGTTGTACGTGACAAGGAGTAGGGTCGCCTGTCCAACCTCGTGGGTCTTCTCGGGGTCCTCCGGTTTCCCCCCACTGCTAAAGACCCCTACGCGCAAGCGAAATATTGAAATAAAATTAAACCATATGTTAGTCCCGAAATGACCTAGTTTGTGTCGGGTGGATGTGAAGCCCCATTTCCCTCCCTCCTCAAGCAAAATTAACAATTTCTAATATGATTACAAAATAGCCCCAGTGAACGTGCATTAACAGCAGCAACTTGCATACCTTTATATATTTATACACATAGTATTCTTGATACACCCATCAAATAAAAGAACTCTAAAAATACATATTATTATTACGCGTATGAATTAGGCTACAGTCATAGTAAGCACCATTTACAGCCAGTTTTTACCAAAATGTTCTCGCGTCGACTAATATCCGCCTATGTTGCAAACCTATATTTTCTTTTTTCTTGCATCATTAATGTTAAAGATACATTAGTTAAGAGTTTAATAAAGAGTTGGTCATTCTTGCTATAATAATTCAAAAATAGATGATGAAAAAAGAAAATATTGAAAATTTCATTCAAATTATTTGATTCACAGCCAAGTTATCATTGTTTGTATTTTTGACAAGATGTGTGAACAGTGGTAACCAGGGCACTGGTATAATCGGGACTTAGCCTCGCTTTCCCATTTTTAAATTAAATTTTTAAATGGCGAACAGTTTTAATCTAGTTAAAATCTCGAGTATCCGATGCCATCGAGAGTCGATTATGGTCTTGTTTTGTTAATAAATGTCTAATTAAACATGCATTATGCAAGAGCAAAATCTGCTTATTACAAGTCTTTCTTTAGGCCTGAAATGTTATCTAAATTATCAATTAGACATTAATTAACTTATCCAGACCATAATAAACTCTCGATGTCAAGGCTAGCCTTCGATGTAGGCTGGATTAGATTCCTATATGCCGCTAACGGCCAAAGATAATTAAATCAGAAAAAGTGGATAATCGAGACTATGCTGTTTAAATTAATGATTTGAGTAATGATGACCGAGACTATGCAAAAATTTCATCCGCTTCTTTCTCGCCTCATAGTGGATCAATTTGACTGAAATTTTCAGCAAATAACCTTTACACTATCTAGTTTTTAACTATTATAGCGAGAACTGCCATCTCTTTATCTTATCTCCCATAATGTATCTTTAATAGTTTATATAACATTTCAGGCCTAAAGAAAGGCCTGTAATAGGCAGATTTTGCTCTTGCATAGAGTATGTTTAATCTACAGAATTACAGAATAAAATTAAACTTACGTGTTAAATAGGACAGTCCTCTTGGTCGGATCTGCTAAAGTACAGGACAACTAACTCGTATAAACAAATACCCGCGTTCTCATTTTTAACCCATTACATCATATATCTCCTTAGTGTACTAATAATTTATGTTATAAACCTTCTAGTCTTCATGTACTGTCAAGTCATGAAGTGCCAACTGTTACAGCTCACTCGGGCATTTATCACCTTTACAAATAACTATACAAAACAAAACAAGCCTACATTTTGACCCTACGCGAACTTAAAGCAAGTATGGAAACACAGGAAGGTCAAAGTAGGAAGAATGGAGAGAGAGAGAGAAATGGGGTTTAACGTCCACTCGACACAAACTAGGTCATTTCGGGACTAACATATGGTTGTTTAATTTTATTTCAATAATTCGCTTGCGCGTAGGGGTCTTTAGCAGTGGGAGGAAACCGGAGGACCCGGAGAAAACCCACGAGGCTGGACAGGCAACCCTACTCCTTGCCACGTACAACCGGGGATTCGAAACCACGCCAGTCGACTCAATGACAGACTTTATGATACAGCGCGCGCATGCTAACCATTCAGCCATCCACCCCCCCGCAGATCAATGGAGTTTAACGTAAATACAATAATATTTTGGGACCAAATGGCCACGTGTGCATTACGATTCTGCACACAGAACAATCTACTCTGAGAATAGATCTTTGCCTTGAACGGCCATCATATTCAAACATTAGATATTGTTTTGTTATGCGGTCCTAGTCGGTTTTTTTTTTCATATATACACACAAAGGTTAAATAAAGATTTTCTGTTTTATTTAATGGAAGGAGAGGTTACCGATTTCACTGGCTCCGCTAATCCAAATGAAATGTCAAAATGAGACGAAATAGCCTATTTATCGCTTCTGTATGTTTCAGAATGTATTGTGGGATATCAAAACAGTTCATTTGGGTTACTAACGCTGGATTTCGTGTTGGGTATCAAAACAGTGGGCAAGGGCAATGTGTCATCCTAAATGAATATAATTCAATTCAATTCTATATGTTTCGATATTGGCACGTAGAGTACGAATATCTTGAACATCGGACCGAAACCTCCTGTCAAAATTTCCGCTCCCCATTACGCGAATAGCGGAAAAGCATGTAAAACGTATACCAAGGTCGTGGACCCTCTAGAGGCCTCATTTTTTCAGATTTAGACGAAACTTATAAGATGGGTTTAATATTGGTACTGATCGGAAATTCCGTGCCAGAGTTATGGCCCCTGGCGTTTACTTAAAATGTGAAATACGTACCAATTTTGTGGATCCTTTGCCTTGGCGCATCGGAATCCCGTGCACAAGTTATGCCCTATGCCATATGATTTAGATAAAACTTAAAATATATGTTAATGATCGAACGTACTTAAATGAGCTCGATTTTAGTACGCATCGGACATTCCGTGCATGAGCTATAGCCCTGCCTTTTACGAAAATCGTGAAATATGTATAAATGTTGTAGGCTTTCAGAGGCCACTATTTTTCACCGATTCAGATAAAACTGAACATATGTGTTAAGGATCACAGATCTCGGATGAGTCTGATTTTAATACGCATCGAATCGGATTTTTCCCCAAAACTTTGTGGATGCAGTACAGGCTATATTTTCGGGACCATAAGGGGACGAACCATATTGATAAACAGCGTTCCGCAACCTTTCGTTCCAGAATTATGCCCCCTTCTTCGAAAACCTTGTGAATACAATGGAGGCAACAGTTTGTAACAGATGTTTTTTTTTTCAGATTTAATGTGAAGCATTTGGTTCATCAAAAGAAGAACCCTATCGATATTGAGCTTATATTGCAAACTTCCGTTCCGGAGTTACGTCATTTCCCGAAAACCTACTGAAGAGAGAGAGGCAACAGTTTTTATTGGATTAATTTTAGATTTGGAAATGAAATGAAATGAAATGTGATTTAACGTCCTAGTGTTTTGCTCCAACTGGCTAATGAAGACGACCATACGCTATCGGGGAACTTTTGCGGCACTACGGCCTACTCTTATATCAAATTCCAACTGCCAAGGGATCTTTAACGGAAAGCCAATGTGTATACGGGACCTTGGTTTTTCGTACAATCCGAATGACTATACGCTGTCCCTTGCCAGACCCTCGGTCCTGCACCACTGACAAGGGGGGCCACGCTGGAAAATCCCGATGAACTTAATAGGTCATCGCGGAGATCGAACACGGGACCTCTAGGTTAGCGGGCCAAAGTCTTACCCACCGAGTCATCGTGGCCCCTATTTCAAATTTGGTGTGTAGCATTGTGGTCATGAGGGGATGAACCGTTCTGTGACATTCCGTTCCTAAGACTTTAACAGATTTTTTTTCTAATTCGATGTGAAGAATCAGGACAACGAGAGAATGAGCCGTATTGATTTACCTTATTCTCTGTACATAGCCCAGCTTAGGCATGGGCTTGAGGGGCCCAGGCCCAGGGCCCCGCGGTTCAGGGAAAAAAGAGAAAAAAATAAAATTAAATCCATCTAGCGGCGCGAGGGCGGAAACTGTACTATTCCTCAACCTTCTCGGTTATCGGGGATTTCATTTGTTATAAATAGTTCCCCGTCGTCATTGTATGCCATTCGGGACTGAATAGATTTCGTATGTGATCACATATTATGTGATTATTCTTGTATTACAGACCGTTTAATTTTGTGTTACACATGCGTGCCATTCAAAAGGATATGAAATAATCTTTTCGTCGCGTTAGAGGCCGCGCGATTCTAGTCAGGTCCAGGGCCCCACTCCGATTAAACTGTACTTTGTCTGTACATTTATTCCACAATGTGGGCGTATCTTGCATGGCAACATTTTGTTTTATTACTATTATATTAGTAACTGACACAAAAAGAAAAGGGATATATTTGAAAAGTAACAAATCAAAAAATATATTTAATATTATTTGGTTATGTTCCTTTATTTGTCCTTGATAGAAGCGATTTTTAGCAGTCATGGCGGCTTGATGAATAGGCGCTGGCTAACTAGCTATGGAGTTCCCGGGTTGAATCACGGCATTGGCCAAAGACGTTCTTCTTTGGGATTGTCGAGCTATGTTTCTACTGTGGTGCATTGGTGGGGGGGGGGGGCATGCAACTGCAAGAAGCTCCACCTAGTCGTTTTAGTGGGCAGAGGTCCCGTCTGCACGTTAGCGTACACGTGAAATTAAACGCTTGTAGGTCGTAAATTCGATGTGGATCAATTTGGGTAAAAACATTGGTAAAATAATTGTGATCGACAGGGGTAAAGGCTAAAACCTAAGGCCCATAGCAGATTTCGCCACACGAGACAATCTGATTAAAACACAGATCCAATTTCGTTTCGTTTTTATAGTTCAAAATTTCGATTTTACTTGTCTTTACTACACTTGGATCTGGAGCGTTTGACCTTTTTTGCGCGGAACTGTGGGTAGACACTAGCGGCAATAGAAATGAAAACAAAGCAAAAGTAGATAAAAAAAAAATACATGGCGGTCGCTAATTAGTTAATAGAATGACTGACGTAATCGGGTCAAATGTCGCTTGCTTGGTACCTGACGTCATAGACCGTGAACTCCCGCTATAACTTGTAGGCCATCGAAAGTATAAAATACGAAACGAAATATAGATCTATATTTTAATTAGATTGGTCACGAGATGTGCTTAGGGTTAGGACACGCGATTGTTGACAAGATTGTACGCTAGGGTGAGGGTTAGTCCTATATAGTCCTCACCCTTTGTACATCTCGTCACCTATGACGAAATCTGCAATGGTCCTTAGCTTTTAGCCCTAACTGATCGATCGAAAGGTGTGAGTTAACATTAAACTATACAATCTGGAAACAAATTGAAAGAAAACGAAATCTGGGGCCTGTTTCACGAAATTTTATCTAAAGATAAAATCTAAATTTTAGTAAATACTTCAATTTTGATTGGCTAAGCACTAAAATCAATCTAATATTATCCAATCAAATTACTAAAATTTGTATTTTATCTTAGTTAAAATTTCGTGAAACAAGCCCCTGATTTTAATATATTTTGGAAGCTACGAAGTTATCAGTGTTTTATTAATATATAAATATATTTATTTAAAACTTACATCAAAATATCCTAAATGACCTAATTATATAACATCTATATATAGATATCACGTCATCAGATAAATTAGTTTCGTTTTTTACTAAAATATCTTCATAAATATATCTACTATATAGGTGTTATAAATTTATCTATTATATAAGTGTTACCAATACATCTAACGGTGTTACAAATATATCTATAAGTGTTTGTCATTTTGCGGTTTTACACAGGCTAGAGGTTATACATAGCCGTTTGGCCCTAGAGATTTACAGGTCCCTCAACATAGGCCATGCTAAAGTAAGCTAATTTATAGAGTCAATGCAATTCTGGGAAATACTTTATCATTATTAGTTATGAACAGTCTTAAAAATGTACCACTTTCGGCGTGTTTGGTCTGTTTAAATACATCCATTGGGGTATCTAGTGAGTAAAAATATCAATTTCATCATTCGGAATTAACAGCCCTTAAATTTTAATAACCAGTTCTCGACTTCGCCAAGGTTATACCAAAATGGACCTCGACCTCCCTCATAAACGACAACCCCGTTAAGAATGATAAAAAGTCTCTCGGGCAAAGCCGCATAGGCTGCATTAGCCTCGTTTTCCATTGTATCCAAGACAACGGGAGATTCTACACCAGCTTCCAACAAAAGACCTGCTGCCTGTATCCGGTCTTGTAATGTCACGTGTTGTTTGTAGTCATATTCTGTATCCGAAGTTACACGCCATCCATCATTAGGATGAGCTTCCTCGATGTAAATTGTCAAAAAGTCAATATCATCAGCAAAGTTTCGTACTAATTCGTTGAATTTCCGTAACTTTGCCATGAACGGGGGTCAGGTACAGCTACCAAAGTTCAACACAAGAGGTCGCCCTTTCTTCATGAAATCCAATAGGAAGTGTTTCTTTGACCCATCTGACGACACTAGAGCAACGTTTGGAGCCATTTTGTTCAGTTCTGCTGTCTTGAAAGCTTCCAAAATATTTGTATGAAAGGCATTTGTGAACATTTTCCAGCCGAAAAAGGAGTCCAGTGTAATATCCTTTTTATTAGCCCCGTCCATCATGGAAGTCATTTGTTTTTTAAGGAGACGTTGTATTGGTGGAATAAAGTAGGCAATGGTCATTAGGGTCACACTAATGATGAAACCTAAAAGTGCCTTTGTTACCCGCCAGCATATCGTTAACTTCCTGGAAAGATTCTCCATTTTAGGTATTTGCTTGGTCTAGTAAGCTACCATATCTGCAAGAAACGAAATGGAATTTAACGTGGTTTAACGTCAATCTGGTTAAAACACAGATCCTATTTCGTTTCGTTTTTATAGTTCAAAATTTCATCTTACTTGTCTTTACTACACTTGGATCTGAAAGAGTTGTTATTTAACTCGTGTTCTGAATGGTGTCAGGGATAAGCCAATGAAACGGTCTGTCACGGCGAGCTTTAGGCGTGTTTTGCAGTGAATTGTGTGTAATCCACTAGTAACATCAATGCTGATTGGTTAATCAAATGTCTGACATCATCGGGTCATAAGTCGGTCTTTTGACCCCTGACATGACCTATCGCTATAACTTGTCAGATCTTCATGTAGTGTAGGCCATCGAAGGTATAAAAAACGAAACGAAATATTGATTTGTATTTTAATCAGATTGGGTTTAACGTCTTACGGTTCTGCTCCGACTGGGATAAAGAAGACTGATATGTGATATCCAATCATTAGTATCCCTTGATAATGTAAATTGAAAGAGAAATGAAATGGGGTGTCACGTCCTAATTTTCTACGCACGCAGTATACTATGAGGGTAAATATTGTCCGGACAGCGGCGTTTGCGCCTACTCCTCACCGAATTCCACCTTTCAAAGTTTCGTTTGCGTGTACACTTCAGACCCAACGCAGGGGCGGATTGGGGCCGGGAAAATTTTGAAAAATGAACCCCAAATATGCGATTTGGTGGCATATCTGATTATAATCTCTGTCAAATAGTATATCTCATAAATCAATTAATTAAGGTTTTTTAGACGAATTGGACAAAATTATTTTTTTCAGTTTTTTGTCCGACCGGCCCATCGGGCGATCGCCCGATCGCCCGATGGCCCAATCCGCCCCTGACCCAACGTAATGCCACCATCTTGAAACAAAATAGAGTCTTCCTCCCTCTGTCGACTCTTTGGGTGTGGGGGGTGAGGGCAAATACTGTAGTAGCTTGATTTATGATCCGTGTAACCAATGTACACCGATCATAAATCAAATGAGTCTTATATATCAAATAATTATATAGAGAGGTTGCCAGGAAACGAAACACATGTCTACAACAGCTGAGACGTCTCATGAACATAAACATTGTGTATAAATTTCAAATGATTCGGATAACTTCACCTTCTAGAGAGTCCACAAGAGTTTTTCAATTAAAGCAAGGGCGAAAACACCGACAGTAATTATCCAAAATCGTTGTCAATGGGATTCTCCGTTTCGTGAATATGAAAACTGTATTTTTTTTTTGGGGGGGGGGGCCCACTTTACTCGTCTACCCATCTGCCCTCCCCCGTCTAGTTGTTTTTTTCACCACTGGGTAGGAAAACGGTTTAGCCTCAGCATGTCAGGTTTATTCTATACCCATGGTACTCCAACGATACTTAAACATCATGATTTTAGTTCAGAATACGTTTTGGACGGTATTACTGACCAGATAACATATCACGCCCCCCCCCCCCCCCATCTCCAACAAACATCCACAACTCCTCAACAAACTGATTAAATAAAGTACATACCTTTATCAGTAGTCTGTACAGTCACCCTTTTAACATAAGATTCAGCACAGACTTTAGTCTGTCGATATCTAGTGGCTATTATTTATTTGTACTATAGAACTTTCTGTGTACGGTGATCTGTTTAGGCCACTTTGCGATTCACCTTTGTGGCACGTCACCCTTTTCAATGATTCATAATCTGCGTTGCCTTTTATAAACCTGCAATCGATCAAGAAATTTAAAATCAACAAGGAGAACTGATTTTTAGTGTCAATACAAGGGGCGGTTCTAATTTTAATTCCAAGGTCAGTAAGTAGAACGGTGTTTACAGCGTGAACAGTGACTCAAGGGTCAATAAGGAGGACGCTGTTAGAAATGAATTTAGAGTCAATAAATCGTGTGGTTCCAACTAGTAAATCTGAGGTCATTAGGGAGAACGGGTGTGAACAACCAATCTCGGATCTACAGGAGGAACGTGGCGAACACTGAATCTCGGTTCTGTTCTTAATGTGTCTTTGCATACGGTTCATTCGTGGATCTGTCAAGTAGAGCGGACTGTGTGCCAGAGGCCCCTGAGCGTGACACTGTAAATCCCACAACCCCTCCCCGCGATGTATTCAAATCAGAATTGACATGCCATCAATTTAGTGACGTATGCTGGATTTCCAAACGGGGATGAAAATGGTAAGAAATAAAATGGGGTATATCGTCCTACTTTCAGCTCCATCTGGGTAGGGTTGGATTAAAGGGGTACTGACCGGGATGCAGACAGGGGCCTCAACCTCAATATTAAAGGGACATCCAATTTAGTTTTAAAAACATTTTTTTTTGTACCATAAATTAATATGTCATTTATTATGTTGTACATGTTTCTGCTGCATCTGGGCAGGGCCGGATTAAAGGGGTATCGACCGGGCTGCAGCCAGGGTCCCCAATATTAAAGGGAAATCCAATTTAGTTATAAAAACAATTTTTTGTACCATAAAGAAATATGTCATTTATTATGTTGTACATGTTTCTGACAAATAAATATATCTATATAGCATACTGACTTCGGGGTTTCGTCCCATGCGAACTACTATGCTCTTCCTTGCCAGACCCTTCGTCCTGCACGACACCGCAGCCAACACCGGTATGAACCCCATGACCTCCAGATTACCTAAATTCATATTAGTGGGGTGTATATGGGACGCAATTTAATGCCCCCCCCCCCCACACACACCGTTATTTCATTTTGAATGTATAATTAATAAATTATTAGGAATCCCCAAATAATTATACATTTCCAGTGATTTTGTCGTTATTATCGCCCATTTACGATAAAGTTTGCGGGATACAAAATTTGACATAAAATATATCAAAGGTAAAGATACGATAAAACTGTAAAATCTTGCACCTTTATAAATGAAATAATGATTACATTTAAGTAATGAACGTTCATATATAGTTTTAATATCACGTGACCGATATTCAAATTTTTGAACTTTCAGGTTTGTAATTAATGTACGCAGTTTTATGTCATTGTAACGGTCAGCTACGGTGGCTCATAGGTGACATCACAACTTTATGAATGGTCATTGTAAAATATGCGTTTCGAGCACAGTTAGACAAAATTTACCTTTGCCAGATAACGAATGGTATTTGATAGAGAATCCTGGAATTAACGCTTGAGTATCGCACAAACAAAGGTAGATTGCTCTAAACAATAAATTTCCACTAGTTTGGCGCGAAAGCGTCACAAGCGAGCAAGGGTTAAAGATACTTTCCTGCAAAGGTAAATAGTTTCAGAAATCAAGCATAAGGTTGTAGAGGATTCAAGACAACAAAACTAAAATGCTACAGATATATTTATTAATACATGTACATAATAGAAAAAAAAACCCATGGAAACTGTTTAATACATTCCGCTACATAACATGATCGGCATATCAACAGTAACAGGATGAGTAATTTAAAGAGCTAGTTCGACCAGAAACCTTTCAGTGTTGTTTATCTGCCTTTCAAATGATTGCAAAAATACCTTAATTACGCTAGCTCATAAACATCAGCTGAGTTAAGCTAGTTTCACACATCAGTTCAATATGTTTTACAGAGTATTACGAAAGTCTTCTAATATATCTGTAAAAGATGATTGTCTTCAACACTTGACGTCATATCACGCGGCGTCAACCATAGGCTCAATGGCGCGTGCATTTTTTTTTACATAAGACGTTACAGATTCGAGCAGACTGGCCCCTTTTACTCATTTTAATACCCATTTACACTAAAATAGGAAATAATTTTTACCTACAAATACTTCAAACGTCTTCATTTATTTTTCTAATACATAAAAAAAATGTTTTAGAATTTAATTTGTCGGAGGAAAAAAGTTAATATTTGTTGCTCATTAAGTCGCATCGATGTCATCCTTATCAATGATTGTTGCGGCCTAGCGAATATTCACCGCGGATCAGTGTGACACCAGTTGTGTTAAGCTAGCTTATTTTTTGCAAACTGAACGCAGACATGTGGCCATTGATTAAGCCTACCTGAACTACCAGAGATTAAACTGGCTGGCAGTTTATCGGCCCTTTCTCGCGTGCATTGTGTTTCCCCCTCTGGGGTGAATGACAGGAAGTTTCTAGCGCATCTTTCGTCATGTGAACAGAATATAATTTCATCATTAACAAAATCTCACAGTAACTATCGCTCGAAAACTAAGCAGGTAGCGCGTCTCTTATGTTTAGAATGACAAAATCTTTCACTTTTCCTGATTGATACACTTATTTACTTACTAATTAATTAATCTAATAGAAATCCAATCACCAATGTTTACAGTGTTATTCCGGTTTCCTCCCACTGCTAAAGACCCCTACGCGCAAGCGAATTGTTGAAATAAAGTTAAACCATATGTTAGTCCCGAAATGACCTAGTTTGTGTCGAGTAGACGTTAAACCCCATTTCTCTCTCTCTCTCTTACAGTGTTATGTTTACATTTTTATTAAAACAACAAACACGATCACAGATTTATTTACACGCATATGCATGATAAGTACTGTGTATATAGAAGAAAATAATATATATTTCCATATTTAGTCCACTGGCCGAAGTCAGACTTTAAATATTTTATTGTATAACTTTATATATAGATATGATGCCATCAGATAAATTAGTTTCGTGTTTTTACTAAAATATCTTCATAAATATATCTACTATATAAATATTACAATCCTAAAATATCTTTGTAAATATATATATATTTTCTACGATATATTATAAGTGTGATAAATATATCTATTACATAAATATTACAATTCTAAAACAACTATTAGCAAATTATAACGTTGCAGGATATCTTATCTGTTCATTTATTTTCCCATAAATTTTAATAACCATTGTTGAACCTCATCGACGTTATATCCCATTGGTCCTCGATTCCCTTCATAGACGACAACATCATCCATAATTATGTAAAGTCTTTCAGGAAATGCCGCATAGGCTGCATTAGCCTCGTTTTCCATGGTATCCAAGACAACGGGAGATTCTACACCAGCTTCCAACAGAAGACCTGCTGCCTGTATCCGGTCTTGTAATGTCACGTGTTGCTTGTAGTTATATTTTGTATCATTAGCAATGCGCCAACCATCATTAGGGTGAGCCTCCTCGATGTAAACTGTCAGAAAATCAATATCGTCAGCAAAGTTACGTACTAATTCGTTGAATTTCCGTAACTTTGCCATGAACGGGGGTCAGGTACAGCTACCAAATTTAACACGAGAGGTCGCCCTTTCTTCACGAAATCCAATAGGAAGTGGTTCTTTGACCCATCTGACGACAACACAGGGACATTTGGCGCCTTTTTGTTAAGTTCTACTGTTTTGAAAATTTCCAAAATACTCGAATGGTATCCAGTTTTAAACTGCTCCAGAGTGAAGAGGAACTCCAAATCAATTTCGCTCAAATCTCCTCCTTCTAACATTTTTCTAGTTAGTGTTTGAAAACGTCGCCTTAATGGTGGTAGAAAATAAGCCATGGTCACAAATATAACCCGACTGAACATACCAAAAATGGCCACAATCACCCGCCAACTTATTTTCAGCTTCCGGTGAAAACTGCATACATACATGTATATGTTAACTAATAACTTCCCAACAACTAATGTTTCTGAAAGAACGGATGAATGATTCGTAATCTGAGTTGCCTTTTATAAACCTGCAATCGAACAAGAAATTTAAAGTCAATAGGGAAAACTGAGTTTTAGTCTCAATACAGGGGGTGGTTCTAACATTAAATCCAAGGTGAGTAAGTAGAATGGTGTTTACAGTGTGAACAGTGATTCAAGGATCAATAAGGAATTTAGAGTCAATAAATCGTGTGGTTCTCACAGTAAATCTGGGGTCAGTATAGGGAGAACGGATGTGAACAGCCAATCTCGGATCTGCAGGAGGAACGGTGCGAACACTGAATCTCGGGTCTGTTTTAATGTGTCTTTGCATACGGCTCATTCGTGGATCTGTCAAGTAGGTCGGACTGTGTGCCAGAGGCCCCTGGCGTCACACTGTAAATTCCCCAACCCCTCCCCGCGATGTATTCAAATCATCAATTTAGTGACGTATGCTGGATTTCCAAAAGGGGATGAAAATGGAAAGAAATGAAATGGGGTATAACGTCCTACTTTTAGCTCCATCTGGGCAGGGTTGTATTAAAGGGGTACTGACAGGGGCCCCAATATTAAAGGGACACCCAATTTAGTTCTAAAAACAATTTTTTGTACCATAAATAAATATGTCATTTATTATGTTGTACATGTTTCTGCCAAATAAATCTATCTATATAGCATACTGACATACAAATTTGCATTTGTGTAAGTGTGACCAACAATGAAAAGAATATGCCCCCTTTTCACTGTCGATTTGTGGCCAGGGGCCCCATGCCAGCTTGATCCGGGCCCATGAAGAAGGACATACGCAATGCAATGGGCGAAATTTTGCCCGGATAGTGGCGTTACAGACTACTCTTATTTCGAATTCCAACTGCCAATGGTTATTTTACGTGCACATCAATATGTATGGCAGACAATAACCAGAATATGCCCCCTTTTCACTGTCGAATTTTAGCCGGGGGCCTCATGCCAGCTTGATCCGGAGTAGCGAAGACGGACATATGCTATGTAGTGTGCCATGGGTGAAATTTTTCCCGGATAGTGGAGTTACAGACTATACTATTATTTCAAATTCCAACTGCCAAGGGTTATTTTAAGTGCACACCAATATGTACACGGGACCTCGGTGTTTCACCATTGCCAGATAACAAATGGTATAATATAAATGACATCATTGTCAATCTGGTAAAAACACAGATCCTATTTCGTTTCGTTTTTATAGTTCAAAATTTCGTTTTACTTGTCTTTCCTACACTTGTAGTGTGGGCCATCGAAAGTATAAAAAAACGAAACGAAATATAGATCTGTATTTTAATCAGATTGACCTCATTGTATAAACAAGACAATCAGGGATAGAGAATCCTGGAATTAACGTTTGATTGCTAGAAAAAATAAATTTCCACTAGTTTGGCGCGAAAGCGTCACAAGCGCGCAAGGGTTAAAGATGCTTTATGATGGTGAATGACGGGAAGTTTAAGCTAGCGCATCTTTCGTCATTTGAACAGAATATAATTTCATCATTAACAAAACCTCAGAGTAACTATCGCTCGAAAACTAAGCAGGTACCCTGTCTCTTATGTCCAGAATGACAAAATCGTTCACTTTTCCTGATTGATAAACTTATTAATTAATCTTATAGAATTCCAATCTCCAATGTTTACAGTGTTATGTTTACTTATTTATTAAAACAACAAACTCAATCACAGATTTATTTACACGCTTATGCATGATAAGTACTATGTATATAGAA